GGGGGGGCGGCGTGAGGGGAGGGGAGGGGAGGGGAGGGGAGAGGAGAGAAGAGGAGAAGAGGAAAAGAAAAACACTTTTCTAGATGGAGAATTTCCTCTCTAAAACGACTGACTCTTGGTCTCTTTTGTTGTCAGTGTTCAGGCATGGGGCTTATTTAACAATCCTGTAAAGCTAAGGTAAGCATACATAGTAAATTTATAATGTATTATTTTTTTACTTATAGAGTTTGCCTAATAAATGAGACCTTCTTTACTTTAAATTTTAGACACTGTCAGCCTTCTATATAACTTGGACTGTTTCCAAACTTTAACCAATTTAACCCAAAATTGTCTTTTTGATTTTTCCACTGCTTGCCCTCTCATGAAAACATTAATCCTCTAAGGAAGTTTATTTACAATTAGTCTTTATTTTGGATGAGGGAGAAATTTGATGAGATACTTTGTAAAGAGGCTGGATGTTAAAAGCCCCAATACTACTCTTGTCTTAAATGGTCAATTTACTTGGAATCTATTTTATTACTAGTTAATCTAGCATAATAATGATTGTTTCTCTAATACCAGAGTAAATTGAGGCATATTAAAATTTATGTAAATCAAAATCATTATGTAGATTGTTAATGCTATCATTTTGCTAAGGCCGATGGCTTTGTTAGCAGATACTACTTGCTACTACTGGATATATGCTTCATTATGTCATGCTCATAGACTGTAATAGAAGAAGCTGGTTTTCAAGGAAGCTAAATTTTATTTTGGAAGGAGAAACATATAGAAAGCAGTGTGAAGTATATATGGAATACTTCTGCATATGTAAAATTCCAACTTAAAGGGAAGTGAGTTATGCCAGCTGAGTGCCAAGTAGGAGGAAGTTTAGGAAGCTGACCAAGAAAAACTCTTGAGAAAAAGTTTTAGAGTCAGGCTTTTGGAAATGGCAGTGTGTGATAAAGGCTGGGAGTGGAGGTTTTTTTTTTTTTCTTTTTTTACACAAATGAAATGTTTGCAAAGTTCATCATTCAGGAAATCAGTCAATTTTTCTTTACCATTTTTTTCTCTGCAATATTCTGAAGGAAATTTTGTAGTATATTGATACAGAATCAACTTCATTTTTGTTTAGATTTACTTATTTTATGTGTGTGAGCATCTGTGAACTACATGCATGCCTGGTACCAGAAACGGGAGGTTTTTTTCCTGGACCTGGACTTATGGATGGTTGTAGGCTGTCATGTGGGTTCTGTGATTTGAACCCAGGTTCCCTACAAGAACAGGTATGCTTAACCAGTGAGGCTTCTCTGCATCCCCCATTGAGTTTTTAACGTGAAAGGGTATGTGGAGTCTAATGTTTTGTTTTACTTTTATGTGCATGTGATAATAATATGGAATGATAGAATAACTGCTAATTATCACCTGTCTCAATTGAGCTTTGTCATATTACTTAACTGAATGAAAGAGAAAGACTGAACTTTCTGCATCATGTAAGATGTTCAACATGTCAGTCATCACAATAAGGTATTTATAGTTGCCATTACATGTTCAGGTGCCTAAGTCACGAATTGAACAGCATTTAGTGCTTATTTAGACATTCAAGATATATCATAAGGTAGTGCATAATAAGTATTTAAAATTCCAGTGTTGACAAATTTACAGGAGATAGATTCCTCTGGAGCTGCCACAGACAAAAATTACCTCATGTAAGAGATGTAAATTATAATTAGTCATCAGGGAGACCATGGGGGCTGCATTATCCAACTAGACAAATCCCTGTCTTAACTCTGCTAATAAATGGCTCTGTCTTTTTTTATGAAGAATCTCTAGTAGTATAGAATTCACTTCTCTGAGACACTTCATGCAAAATTATTAGAATGACTGTGTTTATATCAAATGCCAAGTCAACCTCCAATTAAATCTGATAGTGCTTCCCAGTGTGTCCCAACATCTGAGATGTACCAGTGTGTAATGGCAGTGGTGGCTTACTTAGTCCATCAGCCCACCAAATTGTCCTGTAGGCTCCCAAGATGTCACAGCCCTGGGATGATTGGCATGAGAAACCACCACTGTTTACACTTGTGTTTTACCTCTTATACATGATTGCCATGAAAAACAAGTAGCAAAACACTGTTGGGCACAGTATGGCAGCAAAGATGCTCATGATAGAATCAGACACAAGCAAGTATCTTGATTATTGGGTCTCAGATTTTGGTAGAGCAAGAATATACTTTTTCAAAATTTGATTCTAAATTGCAACATGAGTTTAACAACATTGCAGTCCTTACAGATAGTGTAAATATTGACAGTGGTAACATATTATCACTAATAGTTACCATTAACTGTTTTTGGTTATGCTTTCCACTTTAAAAACCATGATGTTTTTATGAACTTTAATTTATATAAAGCTAGTTATTCTATTGCCAACATCTCCTCCTTTAATTAAATATTCGTAGTTCCTTCTGCACCCCCTTATCTAACATCAGCTCAGGATTTTAACATCTTAGTTGTTCCCCTTTGGACACCTACACTATGTTTGGGTTTGATTTCCAATCTATAGTCCTGAGAGGGTCCCTCATAAATAAGGTTGGCAAGTGTGTCTTTGAAGGCTGGCTGGAAGAAAGGAACAGAGAAAATACATTCTCCATATAGTATAATGAGCCAAGGAGGAAATGAGAACTATGAGATTGACTTTCATCAAACATTTGTGAAGTAAAACAAATGGTATTATTATTTGCTGTGCCACTTTAAGAAGCTGATCTGTCTCTCAAGTGTGACTACAGAATTTATGTGAGCTACATGCAAGCAGAAAATGTCATAGATACTGTAATCCTTGGTACCTTGGATGGAAACAATCAGTGGAATCGAAATCACACTCAGAGATGATCCACAAAACACATATTTTCAAGATGTGCTGCTGAAGATTACTTTGCATAAAAGAGGGTGTTAGCTCCTCCTCTCTGAAGAGTGGCTTCAACCTTCAGTCTGCATTACCAAACCTCACCCCTCTCTTATGCTCCTGCCCCTCCCCCTAGTCAGCATAGCATAATGCATAGAATTTACTGAATACCAGTAGCATAAGTTTGGGCATTTTGTAATTCAGATATTCTGTGAAATTGAGGACTTTTACAGTACCTCTAAAATTGAATGAATTAAATAAAATGTGTAGGAAAGGCCCTGTCAATAAAGAATTCCAATTTTCTAACTTAGTAATATATTCAACAGATCCAAGTAAGTACAGGGGATAAACTGACACTGTTACTCTTGGTGTTCCCATTCTGCTTCTTTTATGGGAAAGGCAACGGCTTTGGAATCATACTCCTGGATAAGATTCCAAAGCTACTATTTATTGATCTCCTAACCTTTGTGGGCAGGGAGCAATGAATCTCTGTGAGCCTTCTTCCTTATTTTAAAAATAAAATTGATAAATTAAAAGACAAGACTTCCACTTTAAAAATGTGTTTTGACTATTCAATATGACAAAATGTGCAAGCTGCTTGGCACACAGTTGAAACTAAATGTATTGCTTGGTTCCCTAGTCCTCCAGAATCCTGTGTCTGCACTTGAGGCCGGTAGATGAGACGATGGTGGGCTGGGGACGTAGGGGAGACACACTCACCTTACAGAGGCCAGAGCTCCAAGCTCAAGCAGGTAAATGCTTGGACGGAGGAAACTGTTTCCCAGAAGAGCAACCTCCTGGAGGTGCTGGACGACGCCCTGAACTACATCTCCCGGGATGCTCTGCAGAAGGTAACAGCCCGCCCCGCCCTGCCCCGCCCTGCAGGATTCGGAGGGCACCGCCCACCCAGCAGAACCCAGCGGCAACACAGGCTACAAGTGCTGTGGCTGGGAATAACGGACTTTCTCCGAGTGCCACGCGGACGCGAGTGTTCCTGGCTTCAGTTTTACTGAGTGGCCAAAGCAGGAGGTGAGTAGCAGAGAATGGGGTGGGGAGGAAGCGCGCGGAGTGGAGAGAGAATCTGAGCTTGAAGCTAAAAGGAGCCGGGGCGTGCATCCCCACTCTCGCTTGAGATGCCTGCGGGACCTAAGCGGATGCAGCCAGACTGCAGGTGCTTTGATGGGCCAAGAGTCTGCTGCGAGAAGTGATTGAACCCGCAGCCTGTTGGGGGCACCCCTGTCCAGTGCAGGCAGCGGGTCCTATAAACCCAGTGCGCTCATCCTGCATCCTGTATTCTGTATCCCACTTCCCTACACAGTCTTCTGCAGACCAGCCTTGTTCCTATCTGGTCTGTCTATATTTTACTTCCTTTAATTGAGAAGCAGCAGACTAGGGAAAACCGTACTCTTGCCTTGGAGGTGCAATCTCATTAACTGGGCTTTTAAACAGATCAGAGAGAGGGCTGGGGGAGGGAAGAAGATACCTTTAGCTGGTCCCCTGGGATTATCCATCCTAAAGTGATGCTGGATTACGGATCGGATCTGCAAATCGATGGTACAGTTAGCGAGTTTCCGATGAGCGCGGGGGAGTGGGGAGAGAGGAGAGAGAGAGAGAGACAGAGAGAGAGAGAGAGAGAGAGAGAGAGAGAGAGAGAGAGAGAGAGAGTCCCGCTTTGTTATAAATTGGAAGTTTCGTGAGGGACCCTGCCAGTTTTATCTAAAGGAGTCTAATAAGATTAGCTAATTGTGCCAAAGGTTAATCAGAGCGCCTAGTGCCTCAGGGATCCATCTGTGATGATTTCAGTAATTGATGAAGCCGGTTTCCATTACTTCCTTCATTGAAGGATCTTTCAGTAGGGGCTTGTCCACTTGAAGAAGGCAAACTCTGATTCCGTTGCGGTTTCCTTACTCTTAGCTCTGTGTTTTCCTTCTTTTTCTTGTTCATTTTGTATTTCCAGTGCAAAGGATGGGGTGGGGCAAGTTTGAAGTGCAGCAGGAAGCATGACCATGTCAAGGTTCTTTTCTATTATGTGAGTTGCCTGACAGTCGTAGGTGAGGCTTGCTTGAACCTCTGCTGGAATTGGGGATTTTGACTCTTACTCCTCCAGCCATAGGTTAAACCATTCTGGATTGAAATAGAAGCAAAAGACGTTCTTGACTAACCTCCCTATATTTGGTGGGAGTGAGGGTGTGTAGGAAAAGATGGGCAGATGGCTTACTGTTCAATACAGAGTTCTGTCCTATCAAGGCTCTTGGTGCCCTGGAGGTGAGAGAGTGCTGCTGATGGCATTTCAGGGCTAGCCTTGGAAACTGCTTCTCCCTCCTCAACCTACTTGCCCAGGGTTTGTAAACACTTCTGGGTGGCTACTTTGTCTTGTTTGTTGGCAAACTGTAGAAAGAGGTAACTCAGACACACTGAGACTTTTGTGAGTGGGAACAGCAGCCACTCAGTGGGAGCAAGCAGTGTGTATGTGTGTGAAGTAGACTGGCTCATTGTGTTTTGTAGAAACCACAGTGATGTGTGTAAGATGCTCCCGACAAACAGGGAGTGGATAGAGCAGAGTAGTAGTGCATATGGGTATTTAACACGGAGCCTAGAGCTGTATGCAGTCGGTTACTGGCCATTTATGCAATAATTGAATCACTAGTTCTGATCACTCCTTTGGTCACTGGCTGATTAAGTCATCCTTTTCATTCACTTCGTAGCTGCTAGTCAAGATGCTGATGCAACTGGTCCCAGCCGATAGGAGCATGCATTCATTAAACCTGATCTGTATTAGAATCTGTTCTGAACTAGAGTATAAACATACAATCTAATTGAATTGCTTAGGAAGTCTGCTCTTGCTCAAGACCGCCAGAAATCCAACAGCTCTGCTCAAAAAAGGGCCCTGCCTTTCTTATTTGTGTCTTTCTGCAGGAAACTTGCCTTCTCATTTGAGGGATTCTGTCACAGCAATGTGTGAGCCCCTGGATAAATTTGGCTTGGTGACGGCAGTGTGCTCTCCCCAGAGATTCTGCCACATCCTCCTTGCTCCTTTTCTGCCCTGACCGGAGTTTCTCACTGCTAACCCCCGTGACAAGTCAGAAGATTTGCCCCTTCCATGATCTTCTTCCCCCAGATTCCCTCTCCCAGTTTTGCCCCTCTGATGAGAAACTGAGGATAAGGTGTCCTCAACCAGCCATGGCTGCGAAGGGAATGAGGACCAGGGGAGCAGGCCTCCCTACAGTATGGGATTAGACTCTGCCAGTTTCTTCTTATCTAATTGTGTTGCTGCTAGCAACATTTCTGGAAATTGCTGGGAGGCATCTAACTAGCTCTCATGGAGCTCCATTCTCTGGCTAAGAGGAACAGCCCAGTGGACTCATGCGATACTGTGGAGTGGAGTTCACGAGAGACTTCCGGTGACCATGCAGAAGAGGCAGCCATCAAAGCTGCTCTTTGCTATCAGAAAAACTTGACATCGACACCAAGGGCAGCTATGGTGGAAGTGTGTAGACTTAGTTCTTCTCCAGCATCCCCAACCTCCTTGCTCCAAGACAATGCTATTGCAACCAGCTTCTTCCCATCGGGACCTCCTGATTCAGGCAATAACCAAGTAATGGCTGATCGTAAAGTCTGTAATTGTTGCAGCCAGGAACTAGAAACTTCTTTTACTTACGTGGATGAGAATGTCAACTTGGAACAGAGAAGTCAGAGGTCACCGTCAGCCAAAGGCAGTAATCACCCTGGAGATCTTGGATGGGGAAACCCTAATGAATGGTCTCATGAGACTGCCATGTCTTTGATGTCTGAAGACGATGATGACACAAGTTCAGCAGCCACATCTTCAGGGAAGTCTGTAGATTATGGTTTCATCAGTGCTATCTTGTTCTTAGTCACTGGTATCTTGCTAGTGATCATTTCTTATATTGTCCCTCGGGAGGTGACAGTGGATCCCAACACAGTGGCAGCCCGGGAGATGGAACGCCTGGAAAAGGAGAGTGCAGTGTTAGGTGCACACCTGGACCGTTGTGTGATCGCTGGGCTCTGCCTCCTCACCCTCGGGGGAGTCGTTCTCTCTTGCTTGCTGATGATGTCTATGTGGAAAGGGGAGCTCTATCGTCGAAATAGATTTGCCTCTTCCAAAGAGTCTGCAAAACTCTATGGTTCTTTCAACTTCAGGATGAAAACTAGTACTAATGAAAACACTCTGGAACTCTCCTTGGTAGAGGAAGATACCCTTGCTGTACAGAGTTAGTTCTAAAATCCTTGAAAGACAGCCATACATTATATATACGTGTGTGTGTGTGTGTGTGTGTGTGTGTTTCCCCCTACAAGCCAGTGAGTGGTTTGTTTTCATGAATCTTGTGTAAGAAAGCCTATGTAAGTTGTAAAAGAAACCCTGGCCAGCTAATCCCTACTTAGCTGCAAACTGAAAATTAATTCACCTGAAATCACCATGAGTTTCTATTTCTAAACAAAATACTTCTGCTGACCTAATATATAAGTGTTGTCTTGTACATAAACATGGAGATTATTACTAGGGACTAGAAGGGTTCCTGCATAATGCGATCACTTTGCAATCTGTTCCGTGAAACGTAAGGACTAATTACATAGTAAGGCTCACATTTAATTTCCAAAGGTGCTTTTCCATTTTCTTGCTAATTTTTTTCCTGTAATTTGGCTAAGCCCTAAAATGTAAACGTTGGCAGTGTGAATATTTTGAAATCTAAGGATGCTGGTTATTTTTTTAAAGCTATAAGATATATTTTAAATTATTGCTATATTTAGAAGTGATAACTATGTCGTTAATATGTACCATCTAATAAAGATAATGTTACAAATCTTCTTCAGACCCATGTGAGGTTAACAAACTGTTTTCACAAGATATTTTCCTTATGCCTTCTTTCCCAATGAAGTAGAAGCATTTGCTGATACATAGTTCATTTCCTCCTTATGGATTTGCAGTCAGTTTGATGACCTGTGCCCTTGAAATCTTTACCCTTTCTCATATATGTGTGGCAAAGCATTAGACTTTTAAAACATATCTTCTGGTAGCCACCCATCCAGATGGGTCTGAACCATGAGTGGGCCTGATATTCTCCCAGGTAGCATTTTGTGATGATGGTTTGGAGAAAACGTCTGGAATACTTGCAGCTAGACTCTTGAGAACCATGCCTAGCACAAGCCATTACTTAAAGAGTCCTTAAGCCGATAGCCAAATCTTACACTTGAGAGAGAATAAACAAACCGACTAATTTAGTGGGAGTTGTGTTCATTACACGTCCTGACTCATCTTGCAATCTCTAAATATCATTCTGAGAACCTTCTACTTCAGATCCTTAAGGACCATGCTCTTGCCTCATAGTGTGAAAATGTGTAGTTTATGAGAAGTACTGTGGGCAAGGTAGTCAGGAAAGCGATGGGAAATGCAGCCTAAGGAAGGCCTTGAATTCCACTGATGCCCCATGAAATGACCCTACCCTTCCACTTAGGCTTCTTTTTTTCTTTTTTCTTTTCTTTTTTTGTTAGAAAGACAATTGAGTTCATTCTTAAAGAGGATTGGAGCCAGGAATGGGTGTAAGTGAAGGGATGAGCTAATGAGAAAGGTATTTCATTGGAGATTCTTAAGAACACCTTAGTCTAATGCAGATATCTGTGTTGTCATTGAGGAGGAGAGGTGAACTGGATGAGTTTGCATATTTATATGAATGAGTGCTTGTGGATTTCAGAGCCATTTGTTGAGTTAGCTTTAATAAGTGGTAAAGGAAAATGCAGCAAGGAAGGGAGGGATAGGGATGACAATGTGTAGCAGAATCCTTAGGTAAAAATATGAGAAGTGTGGAAAAAAAATCACCTTTGCTTCGCCCTGTAGAATAAAGTATGTGATCATGAAGTGCTGGCTTACTGAGCCACAAAGGACTAGACAGAACTTGCATTTTGTGCTTCGTTTTTCTGTGATTCTTCTGTCATCTGTGCGAGAGGCACAATCTCAGAAGGTTAAGCTGTACCTTCTAGAGGAGTATTCAGTTTCAAGCGCTAGTCTGCTTCAGGAGCTACTTTGGAGATATTGGAGTCAGACAGGAGAAATCTGCTTCCATGGATGTGTCGATATGAGCTGGATTCAAACCACAACAAGAAAACATGTAAAATAGAGTTGAAACCAATTTAAATCCAGACCTGGTGGATCACGCCTGGATTCCAATACTTGGGAGACTGAGTCAAGATCAGTGGAAATGCCAAGGCCAGCTTGGACTACATAGTGAGTTCCAGAACAGAATATAGAGTGGGGTTTTGTTTTGAAACATCAAAATAATAATAAAACATTCATGATTATTTATATGAGATCTCTGAATTTTGTTTTTATTTATTTTTAAGCCATGATTAATTGGTTACATAGCAAATTAAGACAGGACTAATTTGTGGTCCAATTTTCAGTTCTTCAGGACTTTGAAAATTAAACATGAATGCTGCATTTTCAATCATATAAAACTGATGATAAAAGAAGAAAAAAGTCAGAGTTCATCATAGAGGAAGAGTTAATGAACTCACTATGTTGCTAAATCATATAGATAAACCCTAAATAAAGGTAACACTTTTCAAAATCCCATTTCAGAAAAGAAGATTTTAAATGAAAAGTAAGTAAGTGCTCATTTCTGCCTTCTCCAAAACGGCTCAAACACAGATAGCATGACATTTAAGTTCTGCTGCTCTGAGGGAAGATGCTTACACCCAACGGGACCAATTCAAAAAAATCACCCGATGCTTTCTTTAGGCTGTGCTGATGTAATTGTGATAATTGCCTTAATTGACTTTCCTTCAGGTATTCTATTTGTATTGCCCTCACCCATTCTGTTAGTGCCTGACCTTGAGATGATTGCTTGAATTTAAAATAAAGCTAAGGACTATGGACATGACTCATGGGTACAGTGCTTGCCTTGTATGTGGGAAGTCCTGAGTGGAGCCCTCAGCACTGCAAGAAAATAAAGATAAAGGTAACACAGGCAAAACAAAACTTCTGAACTTTCTGCGCTTTCTGCATTGTATCAATTTCAGTACAATGTGGAATAGTTTGGGTACTAGAATTACTTTGGCCTGAGCATGTGAGAAACCAGACACTGGACAGACTCGGGCTATGCTTTGACCTTGGATCTTTCTCTGGCTTCCTGGATGTGTCTTCCTCAAGATGCCCACTGCTATCTATGGAACCTTCATTAGGCAGTGTAAGCTCTTAACATTACTAATAAACTGTCCCCTTTGTGGGTGTTGGAAAGTGCTGCAGAGCTTGCTCACCTCTCTTTGCAATGCCATTTCCTGGACAGCCATTTAGAATTCCTGATGCAACCATGCAATGTAATGTGCTGGCCTTTCTCTTCTTTATGGGCATCTTGCTAGGTATCTAATTTATGATTTAGAAGAACAGAAGGCTGCTAGGAACCACCAAGTTCTCTCTGGCCTGGGGTGTATTCACCCCCAGATGATTGCTACTGCTATGTCCCTTAATTCAGTAAAACCCAGATACTTAACTCGCTATCAAAAACTTAAAATATCTGAGCCCATTCTCTTTCTTTAAAAATAAATCTGGATTGAGGCCCAATTTGACCAGGACTAGCACATATTTTTTAGGTACAAATGTAAATAAAGAAACTGCCACATCAAAATTCTTTGTGCCTTCCTTTCCTTTGCCCCTAGAATGAAGTCAAATAATTATAAATCCACAATGATAATTGAATATCAAGAATGAAGGATATGAGCGTGTATATGTTTTTGTTTTCTTTTAAATTGTTTTACAAAAAGAAAGCGTATTAAATAATTACATCTGAACATTCTGAATTTCATCTCTCAAATGTACACATGTATGATTAATGGTCTGGATTAATGGTCAGAGGAAAAAAGAAAATGTCTATGTATCAGACATTTTTCAACTAATACTGCACCAGCTCAAGCCACCACAGAAATGTGGCCTGACAAAAGGGACTCACAGTGCTTGTCAACAGTTCCTTGCTGTCAGCAAGATAGAATATCATCTGCTGGGTCTGACTGCACCAAAAAACAAGACCCATCCTTCCAGGTTTCTGGAATAGCTTTAGCTTTTATAAGATGGGGCAGAAACAATGATCATGATGAGAAGAATTAAAATGAAGTCCCAGTAGGCTTCTCCCAGCACTGGGGAACTCATAAGACAGATAATTAACAGTTTTGACTGCTGGTCTCCTTTCGGCGATATCTTTTTATGGTCTACACAGTCTTCTGTGTAAACATAAAATATCATAAAATATCTCTTTTAGTTTTTATGGGCATACAACTTTGGAATTAATTTGCCTGAGTGATATCAATAACGTCAATTGCAAGATGTTGCTCAAACACAGAATTGTTTTTTAAAACATCCATGACTTAAAATCATACTAATTGCTTTTGTTTGTTAAGTATGCAGGTTGATGTATACAAGCCTACATATCTGTTAAGGTATGTTTTGTAAGTACGTAACTTTAATATTCCTAAGCTATTTTCAGAATAGTCTTCTTGGAATTTGCCATGCCTTAAGGTTGATTTTGTAAACAAGTAGTCTTTCACAGGTAACTATAAAGAGTTTGGAACCAACCTCAGAATGAAATACTATAAGTATACAAACCTTCTTTGCCATTGTTGGACAGAGTCTCACAGGTGCTTTTTAATTTTTTTTTACCTTACAATTATAAGCTCATAAGTATGCAGAATATTTATAAATGATTTTACCTTGAGTTACAGTTTTCTTTCCAAGAAATGTGGATAGTGCTGCCCATGGCTCCACTGTTGAATAACTCCTCTGTGGTTCAGAAACAGCTAGTCTTCTTATTTCTGCCTGATTGCTTCCAATACAGAATGCAAGCAAGTTTGAGTATGAAGACAAAGATGAATCTTCCCTCTGCTGTGTATTTCTCTGTGACTCTCTTCTGATTTCTCATGCTACTTTTCTTGACAAATCAAAGTAATTGATGTTGATTTGTATTTTCTGTATTATAAAGGGCAATCACAAAATATGATGGGCTTTTCCCTCCTGGCACTGATGCCATATATGTTAATAGTGTATTCTCTCATTTTAAAATATAAATATTTATTTAGAAGTTTTCAGTGTGTTTAACTTTTAATTGAAGTCTAATATAATGCATATTTGGTCTTCTAAAAATATCTTTTAAAGTTAGTCGTGTACAAATCAAAATAAAAGTAATATTTACCCGAAAGTCAAGTGTAACATTCTTTTTGCTACCCTATCATTAAATGATCTTATCAGTTTTGCTTTGTATATATG